ATCGACCCACTCAAGATGAGGTCCCGTCACAACCACAGGTAAACAAAACTGTGCTCCCCCTATTGCCGACCTTCATACGGTCGGTCATGTACAATCTGCCATGCAAGGGCGGCAAAGCGATCGTCCTGTAAGCGACATCCGTGTGTATCAATATGTCGCCGTCGAACTCGAAAGCGACAAATGAACATAAACGTCAATCACCGGGCGCAGCCCATACTCGTCGCCACACAGAATCTACAACTCTTCTTCCTAATCGGACTCCACTATCATACGCGTCATATTCTAAAACCCCCATTCAACACCTTACTGAGAGAATCGAACGAAATATCATTTCCCGCCTCGCCATATATGTGCCTTCAAGACCTCTCTTGCAGATCCTTTTTCTTCTTAGTCTCGTCCTACTGACTTTTCAGCTTAATCTAACCATAGATTCATGACCACTTTGGCTTAGAACCCCAGAATCGTACCTTTCCTCACATAAATCCACAAAGGAATGAAGGAATAAGCCCCCTTCTGTCCCTCGCTTTCCTTCGTTCTCTCCTATCCCAAACTCTTTCCGCTCAGTGCAAACCTTATCTACCTCCCAATCTATTAATTTTACGGCAAAGCTAATCCTACCAATCGATTCGTATCGTGTCAAAACTCAAATCTCGCCACTAAACTCGAGAGAAATGGTGGTGAAACGAGAAAGATACACCAGATCCTACTCCCCCCCATTCCTTGCTTCACGGCGCCTCCGCGCAAAACTCTGCTCTCCTCGCTCGCTGTATTCTCCTCTTTTCGTCAAACTAACTCCGCTAATCGCCTCTCCTTACTTTTGAACCCCGGTTCTGACTTCCACTTCGGTCGATTCTGGTAAGGAACGGGCGACCTACATCCTTTTTCCCTCCGCCATAACTAGTCTCCCTTGCCTTTACTTCCGAATGCACCCCAGCACCACCTCAGTCCAACTTCATTCCCTCTCTTTCCATATACGTTCGTCACAGTTGACACCCTTAGTTTCCTGATTGCCTCCTCTTCGTGGCCTTCGCTCCACCTCCGTGGGCTAATTCAGACGTCCGTCGCCGAAAACTACTAGTGGGCACGTAGGCAACTCACCAGCCGAGTCAAAAAGTTTCGAAAAAAACAGACGGTGGCGCTCGACGATTTAAGCTTGGTCGCCCCGGTGACTCTGAATCGTGACGGGTAAGAGAGTTCCAACTTACTGCAAGGCTTGAGAGCCTAAGCTCTGTGCGGCGGCCCCGTTATAAATCTTGGAGGTAGTGACGATCATTCAAAGGAGGACTTTGAGGATCGGAGTAGGAAGGCGCCCTACTCAAACGGCCTTAGCCCCCCTTTTGTTGTTCTGCGCTTGGCGCACGTCAAGCTGCGACTATTAGGTTGGGCGCTCTCATTGCGCCCATGTCACCGGAGTCTTCCCCGCCACATGGCTAGCTACCCATCGGATCGCATATGCATTGATCACCATCGTTCCAGGCCCCTTGCCCGACTCAAAAAACAGACCAATAAGTAAATAAATAACAATAATAATAATAATAATAATAATAATAATAATAATGATAATAATAATAGGGTGAAGTAATATGTAAATAAATAAAAATAAAAGTAGAGTCATAAGGCGAAGAAAAAACTCTGGTCCTGCGGCTGCAAAACAATGGGGGATAGCCTAGTCGGACCCTCAACCCCACAGTTTTCTTCACACCACTCTCATGCCTCCGAGTCATCACTTGCTCGTATCGATGCCTGAATCTCTTGGTAGAAAGTCCAATATCTTAAGCAATAGTATTAGGTCCAAGGTTGGGTTTAGCTCTAGCATTAATCCATCTAAACAAGTGTCCGCTACATATGCGGGTTTACCAGACACTACCGGCTACTCTCTC